TGTGGATCGGGGCATTGTGTCGTTATATGGTGTACGGTCCTGTTCCTAGTCTATAGCCTTCAGTGCTAAGGTCGATCTTCTTCTTCCAGGCGGCTGATGCAGATGGCAGAGCGACAGCGACAATTTCGCATTCAGGTGGTCAAGCCCAGATTACCGCGTCAGCAGAGGCAGCAGCAGCAGCAGCGGCGGGGCGGTTATAGCCGCGATGTCTCCTTCGTATTTGTGGATCGGGGTATTGCGTCGATCCAAATTGTAACGTTTCTGTTCCGGATGACCACCACAGTCGCACCGCCACTGCTAGAGAGTTGAACATTTTTCCATTTACGCAGCATCAGGGATAATCCGCATCTGCTGCTGCAGCTTCCATGGTTGAGGGTGGACCATGAGCAGTCACCTGGCGGAAGATCAAACCCCGGGGAGGTGGGGGGGGGCGAGGATTCTTCTACGTTGGCCCTTGACATGCAATGAAATCCAATTTGGCATGTTTAATTGTAACGGATTAAGCCGCTTTAGCGACTCCAGAGCCACGTGCGGCGGTGGCTCTTTGAGGACTGCCTCGTGACGTCGCTCCAAAGCACCGCAGTGCATTGTGGCTCTTGCAATATTGAGGGCAGTGCCGGAATTGTACTGTGTAGGAATCTCCTGGTTACTAAACCAGCAGCCCACAGGGGATTATTGTGTCCGTCCGTCGTGCATCCGAAAATGGGAGGGGTGGGGCTGGTTGAAGAGGGGAGGGTGGGGAGGGGCTGGGTTGGGTGGGGAGGGTGGGGAGGGTGGGGATGGTGGGGCTGGGTGGGGGGTGGGAGGGGTGGGGCTGGGTGGGGAGGGGCTGGTCACCCCGTGGTGCCCTTATAAAACTCAACGTTTAACCTACTCATGCCGGCTTGTGCCCGCCCTCACAGTCGGGCATATTTGCGGAATACACCACGTGGTGCCGCCGTTGACCCTGGCCATTGACCGAGCAACCCAACGTTCCTACCAGCTCCTCCCTCCGCAGGAATGTGTTCCGAGTCGCAAAAGTAGCTACATATGTAGTAGCTACGGGCCCCACACTTTCAAGGGCCCCGCGCTAACAGCTTTCAAGCTATCAATTCCGGTTCAGTGATTCTGCACTTGCTCTATTACTATAGTACTATACCGCCTTCAACTGTTATGAACGAATGGGTGTTTAAGGTTAGCGATTTGTCGTATTTTCTGGCTGTATAGCAAATGAAAAAATACAATTAACTTTACTATGCAAATTTTGATTTAAAGCTTTCGTGACTGCAGTAATTCATATTCTTAGTTTTTTCAACGTGACTTTACCGAAAAAACTAAGAATATGATTTACTATGCAAGTTCAAAATTTGCGTTTTAATATTTCCGTGGTTTTTTTTAGGTCCCCTTTATAACATATGCTACAGGCCCCGCACTAGCCTAATCCGGCACTGATTAAGGGTTGTTTTGTTTTGCTTTGTGCGTAACTAGCGGTGAGCCATGGGGCAGTTTCGGGAGTAAAGACCCTTTGTCAACATCGCAAATGCTCCATAATATCCATGATATATATTTTTTTGGAGGTGGGGTTAGATCGCGTAAACGTATATAATGCTGTCGTTAAACCCGCCACCAGCCGACACGGCCAGTCCGTAAGGGTTTGTCACGTAAACAGAACGTGCCAATTCGTCACTAGTACGACGTTTCGCCAGTAATTACAACCAGCTTTATCAGGCGACAGCCAGATTTGGCTGGTGTGTGTTGGAGAGCCAAGCCAACACATTTACAATCTTGAGTTCGACGTTTCGCGTGTCTGAAATTGACGACCGTTGATGTAGAACCGTGAAGGGTCTCGGGAAACCTGCGTCTCGGCAGCCTGATGTGGTGGTGGCTCTTTTTCAAGGAACTGCTGCTTCGTGACGTCATGTGTTCAGGGCCACCGCCGCCGTCTCTCGCAGTTCACCCACAGTGCATTGCGGCTCTTGAACTATTGAGGGGCGGTTGCTCTTGTTGTTTGTTGTTGTTGTTGTTGTTATTTTCGGGTTGCTGACCTCTTCCCCCCTGTCCCCGCCCACCGGTTGTCCTCGTGGGCTTCCTCCCTGCAAGCCGGCGAGAGTGCTGTGGGTGTGCCCCTGCCGCTGGAAGTCAAAATCAACAGCCACGGGTGCGCCATTAGACCTCCTTTGCCAGTACCAAAATGTAATAATAGGGTACTGGCAAGGGAGGTCTAATGATGTAGATGCTCACCCCGAGCCCTCATTACTTTGATAGCGGCATTGTCTTTGAGCTGTGTGACGCCTTTTGGCGTCGTGTGGTCGAGCACCAATTGGGTCGAGGCTCAAAAGAAAGCCGTCCCTTGGTGTGGACCAATCAGTTTCAAGGACAATGCATCATATATTATCATAGTATGTTTTTTGTTTGTTTGCAATTTGACTGCAGGTATTGTGGTTAATGCAGACGTGGATCCTCGTAAAAAGGTTTCAGTTTTGTTGCCAGAAAAAAGGGGGAAAATTCTATTATTAGTCACGAGTGCGGTTAAATGACTGCACGCTAGCAGTACACGCACGTACCTGTACACACGTGTCAGGTGTTGCACACACGTGTCAGGTGCATAGTCAGGGGTGCCACTCAACATTCACGCTCGTTGCTTTCTCAAGGTCACTCGTCCTCCTGCTACTGTTGGTGTCGCTACTGCTTTCACGAATTCTCCTCTTGATTAACCTGAAGCCACTGCGAGTTTAAAGACAATCCCTCGGTGCGGGCCGTTCTCCTATAACGCCGCATGCTGTTGTTGTTGATGCTGTTTTCATCACGCGAAGTTGATATAACGCGATATTGAATGTACTAGGGGACGCATTTCTATTTATAACGCGCCATGCGAATTGGATATAACGCGATCGAGCGAAGGGGAACGACGTTGTACGGTTGTGCAGCTACCTCGGCGTAGCATCATCACACAAGGCAGTGGGGATACTGCTGGATGCTTCTAGATGCAACCCACTCAGCCTCGGTCTTTGCTCAGCCTGGGTACGCATCTAACGCGTTGTCGCGGACCGTGCTTTACCCCATATATTATACATGACATACTCTTTGATTCTTTCGGTAAAGTCACGTGGGTGTAAAAAAACAAAAGAATTTTATCATCGATTGTAATTATCCGGCTGCTTCCAACATTACTATCCATTAATATCCGATACGGCGAAATCGGCAAAAAAACCGCTCCGGAAGGGTGCATCAGTCCGGCGAACGTCAATCACGTTGTTGTTGTTGATGTTGTTGATGTTGTTGTTGATGTTGTTGTTGAAACAAGATCGTACATCACCCCATGATATAGAGTCTTCGAGATGGGAGTGGTAAGGACATTTTTTACAGGGAAGATATTTTTTTCCGCACTTTGTATGTTTATTTATGCCCATTTCGCAGAGTGAACTAATGTAAAACACCGAAAAAATACATATACACAACACCTAAGACGATAATGTTATATTAGGATATGCAAAAATAAGTTATTTTAAATAAAAAGCCAACGGATAAGCGATGATGATCAAAGATCATTGCTGGTAATCGTTGATAATTTGTGTCAATTTCTGATAGTTGATCATGATCGCTGATAACTTATGATAATCGATGATAATAGATGATTATTGCTGTAATCGATTATAATCTGTGATAATCGATGATAATTGGTGATAACCGATGATAATTGATGGTAATTGCTATAATCGATGATAATCGCTGAATATTGGTGATAATCGATGATAACTGCTGATAATTGATGATAATCGCTGATAATGTATGATACGTATCGATGACAATTGATGATAATTGATGATAATCGATTGTCATCGATTATATTGTCTTCTATATTGATTATAACCGCGATTTTTCCTTGCACGGTGTCCTTCAGGAACGCAACTACTACTACCGCGTTATAGGAGATCAACAGATTGCATTTAATTTAATGCATCACACAGCTCATAGAGCGGGGGGCTTTCCAAACCCCAATCCTCCCAGCTCCGCCGCCACCACCACCACCAACCACGCTCCGCCTTTCCGCCTTCACCGATTCCCCCATTCAAGTCGCAAATTAACTCCTTCCACGCTGCGCGCGCCCGATGATTGCTTGACACGTCCCACGTGACGCGCTAGGCAACTTGCGCTGTCTGCGTTTCATAGAGAGACGATGCAAGTTAGGATTCACGTCTCGGGGTCCGTGTCTTTGTCCACGTGCTCTACGCGTGCGCGCGTGTTCAGCGCGCAGCGCTACGAACCTGGCCACCCGGGTTTCGATTCCCGCCCACGGCCAACGCCAGCAGTAACGATGATCTGAGCCGGTCCCGGGCCTCCCCTAGGTCGACTCAGCCTCAAATGAGGCAAAGGCGGCCGGGCGTGGTGTTCGCCACCCACCCCCTCGTGTGCTCGCGGACAGCGCTTGCCCCAACAGTCTGTTAAGGCTTTATTGGGGGGGGGGGGGGGCTATTTGCCTTTGTTTGCTTATGTTCCATCCGATGCAGGAAACCCTAATGCGTAAAGAGACGCAATCCTTGCCTGTCAACTTGGCAGTTCGCCAGCATCGATTCTACGGCGAGTCTGTTACTCTGCTGATGAAACACTGCGTGTCGAAACCGGCCCCGAGTGTTTGATTGTCTTTCGCCAGTGGTGCTGATGCTGCTGGAATCATTCACTCCCAGAAGAAGGTCGTGCGAGTGGATGATGGATTGTGTCAGAAACATTGCTGGGAGGTTTGTTTTTTCGTTTGGTAATAATATCTCACCACGTTGGCTTGGAGATGTTAACTACCTCGCCTGCTATACAGGAGGTCGTTGGTTTAATCCCGACCCCCCGACCCCGGCTGCTGTATATTTGGAGTTTGCGGTGTGTGTGTCTCTCTCTGTGATCGCGTGGATTTTTCTCCGGGTACCCCCCGCCCCCCCCCCCCCCCCCGGTTTTTCCCTCCACATTTAGAATCCGCGTGGGTTTTGGAATATTTGGCTGCTGCTGCTGCTGCTGCGGCTGCTATAAATGTCCACGCGATACGCCACTTCGCTGAGCCATCATTTGTGGCCAGGTCGCTACTGACAAAGACCCGCCTGCTACGTAGCGCAGTGGTATTAAAAAAAGAAATAGTTTAAGCGGAGAGACGGAGGTGTATATGAGAATGAGACATCGTTCGCGTGCTTTTTTTTGTATTTCACTGCAGCACACGGGCGCTCAATCTCCGGTAGCGGCATTCCAGGAGTAAAAAATAAAATACAAAATTATCAGCGGCGTGGTGCTTTCTGAGCCACCGCTTTGGGATCACTTTCTGAGCCACTGGAACCGGGGAACCGGGGAACCTCGCCGGAATCCCTCCCCATCCCCCGGCTCGCGAAGCGCTCCGTTTGGAACGCGCGGCTTGCTCGGCCTTGATCATCGAGTCACGTGTTCATCGCAACAACAGCGGCAGCAACGGACAATTGCCTGCCTAGGTTGGGCGAATTTTCCCACGATGATTTCACGATGCAATTTTAGTTTTCTGTCTGTTGTTGTTGTTTTGTTGTTTTTGTTCGCTTTGTCCTTGCATAGCAGGAGGCGGATTCTCGGAGTGAGTGGAACGAGTCGCTTGGGGTGCATGCGCGAGGCGGTGCGGGGAGTGTGAGAGGCGTTGGAGGCGAGGGAGAGATGGTGACAAGGGCCGTGAGCGAGCGGTTTGCGTGGGGCAGCACCACGCCCGACCGCCTTTGTCTCCAGTCTTTGACCACGCCGCACCAGGTACTCATTTGAGGCCGAGTCGACCTAAGGGAGGTCCCATGACCGCTTCGTACAATCTTCCGCTGGTGTTGGCCGCCGCGAGCGGGAATCGAACTCGGGACACCGGGTTCGTAGCGCAGCGCGCTAACCGCTGCACCACCGCTCCCCTCGAGGCACACCGCACGCGTGGGGTATTGGCAAACCGAGGGGGGGAGGGGGGGGTGGTGGTGGGGGGGTACCGGGGGAGGGATGCAGCACGTGGCCCACAATCCTTTGCGCGCGGTACTCGCGTCTATTTTTAGCATCGCGCGGTGTTGCCAGGGGAACCCTGATGACGCACGGGCGTCACTGCGGGTCAGCCTCACTCTCTCTCTCTCACTCCCTCTCTCTTACTCTCTCCCTCTCTCACTCCCTCGCGCTCTCTCTCTCCTCAATCCTTGCCCGTCTCTCCTTATCCCTGTCTCTCTGTCGGCGCGTGTGTGTCTGTATTGTTCGAGCTCCTTCGTTATCCTGCTTTCCTGCCTTGATCTCCCTCTCTCTCTCCAGTTTGTGTCTCTTGCCGATCACTCGTACATCTCTCTCGCTCTCTCTCTCTCTCTGATTCTTTGCGGTATATTAGTACACACTCGCGCTCTCTTGCTGCATCAGTCAACTCCGTCTCTCTAGCACGACATAGCTGCCTGTCTACCTATCGCTACGTCTATCTGCCTTCTCTACATCTCTGACACACACACACGTATAGCAACACTCTATATATTTGCATTGTTTCCGTAATCTATTTTCAGTCTCTTTTTTGTTTCATCTCTCAATGTCGTATTTGTGCCTCTGGTCTCCACCGCCTTCCATCATCGGCTCTCCTCCTCTACCCCCCCCCCCCCCCCCATTCCTCCCATCGCTCTCTCTCTCTCTCTCCTCTCGTCCGTCCTTGGCTATAGGAGCAGCAGCGCACGGACGCATTCGTCCCGAGAGGCGAGCCGGAGTTGCGTCCCCACGTCGGACAGCCCGCAGGGAGGGCGACGCTTCCGCAGCGTCTCCTCGGTTCGTGTGTGACAGCGAAACTTGGTGTGCGCGTGCATGTGTGTGTGCGTGCGCGCGCGTGTGTGTGTGTGTGCGTGTGTGCGTGCGCGTGCGTGCGTCTCGTACACTCACCCGCGTGCGTGTGAATGTCTCTTGTGTGCGAATGGGTGTGTTAGCAAGGTTAACGCGCTGCGCTACAAACCGGGCGACCCGAGTTCGATTCCCGCTCACATTCGACGCCGGTAACGATTATCTGTATTGGTCCCGGGCCTCCCCTAGGTCATCTCAGCCTCAAACGAGTGCCTGTTGCAGTGGCGTGTAAACATCGCCACTGGGGGGAGACAAAGGCGGCCGGGCGTGGTACTGGCCACCCACCACCTCGTGTGCCGTGCCGGTCCTCGTAGGTGCTGCTCGCTAACGGCACTTGCCCCAACAGTCTGTCAAGGCTATACGGGTGGGGGAGGAGATCTTTGGCATTGTAGCAAGGTAGTGGTGTAAGTGGTGGCGTCGTGGTTAGCGCCCTTCGCTACGAAACCCCCGCGGGCGGACTGGACGCGATTCCCAGGCAGTGGCGCGGTGGTTTGGTCCGAACCGGCCTTGGGGTCGACTCCTCGAGGTCAACTCGACTGTAAATGAGAGACAAAGGCGGTCGGGCGTGGTGCTGCCCATTGTTTACACCCTCGTGCGCCGTCCTGCAACCCATAGGTGCTCGCGTGAATGTCGTCCGTTCGAGGCTACACGGAGGATCTCTTTGTCTTGAGTCGGTACGCAAATTGCGTTTTTGGGGAGTTTCCACGTTGAAATGCGCGTAACAATTCCCGCTCGCGGCCGACGATTGTCTCCAACCGGTCCCGGGCCTCCCCTAGGTCGACTCAGCCTTCACTGAGTACCTGGTTACCGCGTGTAAACACCAGCACTGGCCACCCACCCCCCTCGCGTGCCGTTCCGCACTTCAAACATGGTGTTCGCCAACAGCACTTGCCCCAACAGTCTGTTAAAGGCGACACCGGGGATCTTTGTCTATGCGTGCACGTGCCCGTGCGTGTGTATTCAGAGTATGCGCTCATGCGCGTGTGTTCATGCGTGTGTGTTCATGCGTGTGTGTTCATACGTGTATGCTCATGCGTGTGTGCGATCATGCGTGTGTGTGTGTACTCATGCGCGCGTGTGTGTACTCATGCGTTTGTGTGTTCATGCGTGTGTGCAGTGATGCGTGCATGCACTCATGCATGTGTGTTCATGCGCGTGTGTGTGCTCATGCGTGTGTGTGTGTGTGCGCTTATGCCTGTGTCTGTTCACGCGTGTGTGTGCTCACGGTAAATGAAGGTGAAACCCCCACATAAATGATTTACGAGCACGATCATGCTAATTGTTATTACCGCGTGCGGATCTACGTGAGTCGTATTCATTTCCACTCGTGCCAAATGACGCTATTGTTATCGTCATGCTAACAGCGTTCGTTGATGTTAACCGTGAACACGACTGACTGAATGACTACCAAATTTAACACTAACACAAATGAAAAGCAATTATTTGATGACGCTGCTACTGCTGCTACTACTGCTGCGTTGGGCAGTGGTGAATGAAGCGCAATTTATTTGTAAACAAAACAATAATTTTAAAACTCGATACATTCGTCAATTATAATATTGATTAACATTTATAATGCGCATTCCATCATAGGATCCCAATGCGCATGACACCGTGTGGCATTAAAACTAAACATATACGCGACGTTTCGGGCCATGACCCTTCTTCATAGCAATGCATATTTACGTGCGTACAGATGCGCAATTATTGTGTGTATATGTACACAAATGTGTATATATGTACATCTGAAGAAAGAAATACGTACAAACATTGATAGATACATATTTACGTGGAATGAAGAAGGGCCGTTAGCCGAAACGTCGCCTCTCAAATACGAATTGATTAATCTAATAAGGGTGCACACCACACACTCGGTGATGTTACAGGGGAGCGTGCGTCGAGCGAGGTTTTGAGTGTGACTTCAGCACCACGGACAGCGGCGACCGGGCGTCACGTCACGTGCCCCACGCGACCACGGACGGGATGGAGGCCCCCCCCCCTCACACCCCCTCTCCACCCCCCTTCTCCCCCCTCTCTCCCCCCCTCTCCCCCCCCCCCCCTCTCTCCCCCCTCCTCTCCCCCTCTCTCCCTCCCCTCTCTCCCTCCCTCTCCCCCCTCTCCCTCCTCCTCTCCACCCCCCCTTCTCCCCCCTCTCCCTCCCCCTCTCCCCCTCCTCTCCCCCTCTCTCCCTCCCCTCTCCCCCTCTCTCCCCCCCCTCTCCCTCCCCCTCTCTCTCCCCCCCCTCTCCCCCACCCCTCCCCCCGCACCACCTTAGCTCGGATATCAATCTCCATCTGTGTGTCCTAAATGCAGACGAAGGCAAAGATCCCCCGTATAGCCTCGGCAGACTTTTTGGGGAAAGTGCCGTTAGCGAGCAGCACTTACGATGGCCGGCGCGGCACCTACGAAGGGGGCGGGCGGGTGGCCAGCACGACCACTCCCCGGCCCCCTTTGTCTCCCCAGTGCCGATATTCACATGCTGCACCAGCTACTCATGAGGCTGAGTCGACCTAGGGGAGGGCACCCGGACCGGTGCAGACATTCGCCCGGCCGCTGTCTGCCGTCCGCGAGCGGGAATCGAACTCGGGTGGCGCGGTCCCCTTATATTCCACTGCGCGGTAGCAACGCGGGCGATTGCCGTGTCCCGGGACTGCCGAGCAGAGCAGGGGAGGCTGCACGCGACGCAGGGGCGGCGTTGGCGTTGGGGGAGGAGGAGGAGGGAGGTCGGGACTCAGTGAGGCCTCTAGTTGGGGCTAAAGGGATTGGAGATGCTCAGGCGTCGCTGCCGTGCAGGATGAAGGAGGAGGCGGGAGGCGGGGGTGGGTGTCTCCCACATGCCCGCCGTGAAAACGGGGACACTCCGTGCGCAAGATGATTCGAGGTGAGCGTCTCGGTGTCCGTAAATGTTTGCGCGGGGTTGCTGTTCGCTGCCGTAGCCTTTCCGATCTTAACAGACGTGTGCATTTAATCCAATAACGAATTCTTGTTGTTGTTGTTGTTATTATTGGGAGTGTAGGGATATAAAATCGCCGCGTGAGTGCAATGCCAACGCCAATGTCGTATCACCCTCGTCCACCCGGCACGGGCCACGTTCAAGTCATCCAGTTGCTCCACACGCAACAATCGCCGCCGATTTTTTTTGCGAGCCGCTTCGGGCAAGCGCCATGGGGCGGCGATGCTTGGACAGCGGAGCCGGGGACAGATCCATTCGGTGCGCAACGTTTCGCTGCTCGTGTCACGGGCAGCGTCATGTGGCGATTGGCGGAATTCTGGAACCGCTTCCCCCCCCACCCCCACCCAAAGAGAGATTTAATTGCTACGGCGAGGAAGCTGAATATCTTGAGGCGGCGTCAAGCCACTGCTAGAGAATGGTCTGCACGCGTTCAATTGACGGCCGCGCACATCATCGACGGCAGCAAATTATTCCGCACCTGGTGATTTCTGCGCTGATTTGTGCTTTCATTTTTTTGGTTATCAGTTAATGCCAATGATGACGCGGCTGAGAGTCAAGGTTGTTACATTTCGTGGTGTCAATAATAAAAGTGCGTTCAACGTGTGAGGAACCGCACGGTTTTTCGCTCGCCCTCGAAAAGAGAGCACGACTCAGAGAGAGAGAGGACGACTCGAACAGGACGACTTAGAGAGAAAGAGAGGACGACTCCGAGAGGACGACTCCGAGAGAGAGAGAAGACGACTCAGAGAGAGCGAAGACGACTCAGAGTGAGAGGACGACTCAGAGAGAGAGGACGACTCGGAGAGAGAAGTCGACTCAGAGAGAGGGAAGACGACTCAGAGAGAGCGAAGACGACTCAGAGAGAGAGGACTACTCAGAGAAAGAGAGAGAGGACGCCTCAAAGAGAGAGAGAGGATGACTCAGAGAGAGAGGACGACTCAGAGAAAGAGGACGACTCAGAGAGAGAGGACGACTCAGAGAGAGAGGACGACTCAGAGAGAGCGAAGACGACTCAGAGAGAGAGGACGCCTCAAAGAGAGAGAGGACGACTCAGAGAGAGAGAGGACGACTCAGAGAGAGAGGACGACTCAGAGAGAGAGGACGACTCAGAGAGAGAGGACGACTCAGAGAGAGCGAAGACGACTCAGAGAGAGCGAAGACGACTCAGAGAGAGAGGACTACTCAGAGAGAGAGAGAGAGAGGACGCCTCAAAGAGAGAGAGGATGACTCAGAGAGAGAGAGGACGACTCAGAGAGAGAGGACGACTCAGAGAGAGAGGACGACTCAGAGAGAGAGGACGACTCAGAGAGAGCGAAGACGACTCAGAGAGAGCGAAGACGACTCAGAGAGAGAGAGAGGACGACTCAGAGAGAGAGGAATACTCAGAGAGAGAGGACGACTCAGAGAGAGAGGACGACTCAGAGAGAGAGGACGACTCAGAGAGAGAGGACGACTCAGAAAGAGCGAAGACGACTCAGAGAGAGAGGACGACTCAGAGAGAGAAGACGACTCAGAGAGAGAGGACGACTCAGAGAGAGAGGACGACTCAGAAAGAGCGAAGACGACTCAGAGAGAGAGAGGACGACTCAGAGAGAGAGGACGCCTCAAAGAGAGAGAGGACTACTCAGAGAGAGAGAGGACGACTCAGAGAGAGAGAAGACGACTCAGAGAGAGGACGACTCAGAGAGAGAGAGGACGACTCAGAGGGAGAGAGAGAGGACGCCTCAAAGAGAGAGAGAGGACTACTCAGAGAGAGAGAGGACGACTCAGAGAGAGGACGACTCAGAGGGAGAGAGAGGACGACTCAGAGGCGCCAGGAGGCGGAACCACAGACGAGCGGGAAGGCAGCAGCACGCTCTGCTGCCCTCTATATATCAAGGTGTTATCGGCCAATTAATAATGATCTTCAGTTATTATTATTGATGATTATAACAATAATAATAAACAAAGCAACGTGTAACACGCTCGATATTTCACGGTCGTAAATGACCGTGGCATAGCTCTCGAAAGCCGGCCGAGAGACGAGGGGCCTCTGAGTGCATTCCTCAAAGTCCGTGTCTGGTTTGTGGTCCTTCCCCAGCGTGGCTGGCTACGGACGGTGCTAAAGAAGTTCAGCATTCGTTTGTAGCTTTAACGCTGCTGCTGCTGCGCGTGTGCAGCGGCTGTAGTGCAGGGAGACAGGGGCTGTAGTGCAGGGTGACAGGAGCTATAGTGCAGGGTGGCAGGAGCTGTGGTGCAGGGTAACAGGGGCTGTAGTGCAGGGTGACAGGAGCTGTAGTGCAGGGTGACAGGAACTGTAGTGCAGGGTGACAGGAGCTGTAGTACAGGGTGACAGGAGCTGTAGTACAGGGTGACAGGAGCTATAGTACAGGGTGACAGGAGCTGTAGTGCAGGGTGACAGGAGCTGTAGTGCAGGGTGACAGGAGCTGTGGTGCAGGGTGACAGGAGCTGTAGTGCAGGTTGACAGGAGCTGTAGTACAGGGTGACAGGAGCTGTAGTACAGGGTGACAGGAGCTATAGTACAGGGTGACAGGAGCTGTAGTGCAGGGTGACAGGAGCTGCAGTGCAGGGTGACAGGAGCTGTGGTGCAGGGTGACAGGAGCTGTAGTGCAGGTTGACAGGAGCTGTAGTGCAGGTTGACAGGAGCTGTAGTGCAGGGTGACAGGAGCTGTGGTGCAGGGTGACAGGAGCTGTAGTGCAGGGTGACAGGGGCTGTAGTGCAGGGAGACAGGAGCTGTAGTGCAGGGTGACAGGAGCTGTAGTGCAGGGTGACAGGGGTTGTGGTGCAGGGTGACAGGAGCTGTAGTGCAGGGTGACAGGAGCTGTGGTGCAGGGTGACAGGAGCTGTGGTGCAGGGTGACAGGAGCTGTAGTGCAGGGTGACAGGAGCTGTGGTGCAGGGTGACAGGAGCTGTAGTGCAGGGTGACAGGAGCTGTAGTGCAGGGTGACAGGGGCTGTAGTGCAGGGAGACAGGAGCTGTAGTGCAGGTTGACAGGAGCTGTAGTGCAGGTTGACAGGAGCTGTAGTGCAGGGTGACAGGAGCTGTGGTGCAGGGTGACAGGAGCTGTAGTGCAGGGTGACAGCAGCTGTAGTGCAGGGTGACAGGAGCTGTAGTGCAGGGTGACAGGAGCTGTAGTGCAGGTTGACAGGAGCTGTCGTGCAGGGTGACAGGAGCTGTAGTTCAGGGTGACAGGAGCTGTGGTGCAGGGTGACAGGAGCTGTAGTGCAGGTTGACAGGAGCTGTAGTGCAAGGTGACAGGAGCTGTGGTGCAGGGTGACAGGAGCTGTAGTGCAGGGTGACAGGAGCTGTAGTGCAGGGTGACAGGAGCTGTAGTGCAGGGTGACAGGAGCTGCAGTGCAGGGTGACAGGAGCTGCGGTGCAGGGTGACAGGAGCTGTAGTGCAGGGTGACAGGAGCTGTAGTGCAGGGTGACAGGAGCTGTAGTGCAGGGTGACAGGAGCTGTAGTGCAGGGTGACAGGAGCTGTAGTGCAGGGTGACAGCAGCTGTAGTGCAGGGTGACAGGAGCTGTAGTGCAGGGTGACAGCAGCTGTAGTGCAGGGTGACAGGAGCTGTAGTGCAGGGTGACAGGGGCTGTAGTGCAGGGTGACAGGAGCTGTTGTGCAGGGTGACAGGGGCTGTAGTGCAGGGTGACAGGAGCTGTAGTGCAGGGTGACAGGGGCTGTAGTGCAGGGTGACAGGGGCTGTAGTGCAGGGTGACAGGAGCTGTAGTACAGGGTGACAGGAGCTATAGTACAGGGTGACAGGAGCTGTAGTGCAGGGTGACAGGAGCTGTAGTGCAGGGTGACAGGAGCTGTGGTGCAGGGTGACAGGAGCTGTAGTGCAGGTTGACAGGAGCTGTAGTACAGGGTGACAGGAGCTGTAGTACAGGGTGACAGGAGCTATAGTACAGGGTGACAGGAGCTGTAGTGCAGGGTGACAGGAGCTGCAGTGCAGGGTGACAGGAGCTGTGGTGCAGGGTGACAGGAGCTGTAGTGCAGGTTGACAGGAGCTGTAGTGCAGGTTGACAGGAGCTGTAGTGCAGGGTGACAGGAGCTGTGGTGCAGGGTGACAGGAGCTGTAGTGCAGGGTGACAGGGGCTGTAGTGCAGGGAGACAGGAGCTGTATTGCAGGGTGACAGGAGCTGTAGTGCAGGGTGACAGGGGTTGTGGTGCAGGGTGACAGGAGCTGTAGTGCAGGGTGACAGGAGCTGTGGTGCAGGGTGACAGGAGCTGTAGTGCAGGGTGACAGGAGCTGTAGTGCAGGGTGACAGGAGCTGTGGTGCAGGGTGACAGGAGCTGTAGTGCAGGGTGACAGGAGCTGTAGTGCAGGGTGACAGGGGCTGTAGTGCAGGGAGACAGGAGCTGTAGTGCAGGTTGACAGGAGCTGTAGTGCAGGTTGACAGGAGCTGTAGTGCAGGGTGACAGGAGCTGTGGTGCAGGGTGACAGGAGCTGTAGTGCAGGTTGACAGCAGCTGTAGTGCAGGGTGACAGGAGCTGTAGTGCAGGGTGACAGGAGCTGTAGTGCAGGTTGACAGGAGCTGTGGTGCAGGGTGACAGGAGCTGTACTACAGGGTGACAGGAGCTGTGGTGCAGGGTGACAGGAGCTGTAGTGCAGGTTGACAGGAGCTGTAGTGCAAGGTGACAGGAGCTGTGGTGCAGGGTGACAGGAGCTGTAGTGCAGGGTGACAGGAGCTGTAGTGCAGGGTGACAGGAGCTGTAGTGCAGGGTGACAGGAGCTGCGGTGCAGGGTGACAGGAGCTGCGGTGCAGGGTGACAGGAGCTGTAGTGCAGGGTGACAGGAGCTGTAGTGCAGGGTGACAGGAGCTGTAGTGCAGGGTGACAGGAGCTGTAGTGCAGGGTGACAGCAGCTGTAGTGCAGGGTGACAGGAGCTGTAGTGCAGGGTGACAGCAGCTGTAGTGCAGGGTGACAGGAGCTGTAGTGCAGGGTGACAGGGGCTGTAGTGCAGGGTGACAGGAGCTGTGGTGCAGGGTGACAGGGGCTGTAGTGCAGGGTGACAGGAGCTGTGGTGCAGGGTGACAGGGGCTGTAGTGCAGGGTGACAGGGGCTGTAGTGCAGGGTGACAGCAGCTGTAGTGCAGGGTGACAGGAGCTGTAGTGCAGGGTGACAGGGGCTGTAGTGCAGGGTGACAGGGGTTGTGGTGCAGGGTGACAGGAGCTGTAGTGCAGGTTGACAGGAGCTGTAGTGCAGGGTGACAGGAGCTGTAGTGCAGGGTGACAGCAGCTGTAGTGCAGGGTGACAGGAGCTGTGGTGCAGGGTGACAGGGGCTGTAGTGCAGGGTGACAGGAGCTGTAGTGCAGGGTGACAGGGGCTGTAGTGCAGGGAGACAGGAGCGTAGAGTCACGGCGATAAACGTTGAACATTATTTATTGTTCGTGGTGGTGATTGTCGACGATGATAATGACGATGATGATCTATTGGTGGTTTATCGCTGTTGGAGCTGTGGTTGTGGTGAGTGGTGCGGGGTGAGACGGGGGGGGTGAGGAGGGGGGTTGAGGAGGGGGGTGAAGAGGGGGGGTGAAGAGGGGGATGTGGAGAGGGGGTAAGGAGGGGGAGGGTGAGGAGGGGGTGAGGAGGGGGGTGTGGAGGGGGGTGTGAAGGGGGGGTGAGGAGGGCGGGTGAGAAGGGGGGATGAGGAGGGGGGGTGGTGTAGAGGGGGGGTGAGGAGGGGGTTGAGGAGGGGGGGCGAGGTGGGGGGTGAGGATGGCGGTGAGGAAGGGGGGTGAGGAGGGGGGGTGAGGAG